GGTCCCTGTGTGACCCTCAAAAGGTCACTTAATCCTGTTTTCCTCAGTTTCCTCATCTGTAAAATGAGCTGAAGAAGGAAATGGCAAACNAGTCCCTGTGTGACCCTCAAAAGGTCACTTAATCCTGTTTGCCTCAGTTTCCTCATCTGTAAAATGAGCTGGAGAAGGAAATGGCAAACCACTCCAGCATCTTTGCCAAGAAAACCCAAAAGGGGGTCAAAAAGAGTCAGACATGATGGAAACAACTGAACAACAGTAACCCAGAAGGAGCTTACATTGTAATGGGGTAAGGTAACACACAAAGGGTGGCTGGAAAGTGGTGTTGGGTGTGGAGAGGGGAGAAGTGACAGTACCATGATAGACAAGTCCAAAGGAGTACAGCCTGGTGAGAAACAAAGAAATTATTGACCTAGTCACCCTCCTCAAACAGAGGTTTGAGGAACTCCTCTCTCTACCTTCTAATCAGAAAGACAGTGGATACTGATGAGCTCTAACTTTCAAGCCTGATTCAATCTTGCTGGATAATAATAATTGATATAAATAACATTTACATAACACCTACTATGCATTAGGCACTGTGCCAAAAGCATTATAATTATCTCATTTGATCCTCAAAAGCACCCTGGGAGGTGGGTGCTATTATTATCCCCATTTTTACAGATGAGGAAACTGAGAGACTTGCCCTCTCAAAAATAGAGCTAGTAAACATCTGCAGTTAAATTTAACTTGGGTCTTCCTGACTCCAGACCCAGTAGTGATGAGGTTCCTGATGAGGAAGTACTTGTCATGTAAGTACAATCTACGAACTATGGAAAGAGTAGACAAACAGGAGTTGGGGAGCAGGGAGAGGAAGGAGTGTCAGTCTCTAAGAATACCTCAGCACAAAGTCCTTTAAAAAGAATTGCTCCTAGGTGTGAAATGCTAACTCTTTCTCCTTTGCGTATGTGGTAATGAGCTGATTGCTTACATCTCTACATTTCCATACAACTCAAGTTAACTGCAAAGTTTAGCCAGGTTTAGAGGCTTTCTGTCTGTCTTTTATGGATGTACATGTTCCAATATTTCCAGGACCTCCAAAACAACAAAGGTAGAGACCAGCGTCTATCAAGTCAAGATATTTGAACCAGAACTTGCAAATAGGGAGCAGATGATGTTTCCAAGGATTGCTTGTTCTCCCTCAGACTAATTTGTATTCATGAAGCATAGGCTCTAATCACAATCTATCATGTGGAGAAGGAAGAAAATAACAAAATGTGGAAATGAAGCTTTAATCCCTACATTACAGCTGCCTCAGCACCAGCTTCTTCATGTTGACTCTTGTCATAGGACGTGTGGAAGAGAAGGTAGCTAGATGTCATAGTGGAGAGAGTGCTGGACTTTGAGTCAGGATGTCCTGAGTTCAAATCCTGTTTCCATTTCTTATTGGCTGTATGACTATGGATCACTTACCTCTCTTAGCCTCAGTTCCTTCTTCTGGAGAATGCTAACAGCACCTATTTTATAAGATTTTGTGAAAATCTAATTAGATAACATACGTAAAGTGCTTCACAAACTATAAAATGCAATGGGAATTTTAGATATTATTATTAGTAATAATAATGAGGAAAGATGGAGGAGCAAGGAGGAAGAAGAAATGATCTGTAGAGAGGTCAGACAAAGCTGAGTGCCTGACTCATAGTGGGAATTCAGTAAACATTTGAATGTAGTTGGAGAGTGGCATTTGACCTACTCCTTGAATGATTGGTGGAATTTTGACAAACAAAAAAAGAAGTATCTCACCAATTCTGGGAGAACTGTGTGGGCAAGAAAGGATATCAAAGGATACAGTTGTGGATCTGGGAGTACCTCTGTTTAGTGGGGGGAGGGTTGTGTGGAGGAGCAGTGGAATATAAGACTAGAAAGGAAAGTTGGAACCAGAATATGGGGAATCTTGAATGTCAGATTCCAGGGTTCAAATTTCCATCTCCTGACAGTTAAGAGTCAGAGAAGACTTTTGACTCAAATAATGCCATAAAGACTGTGGATGAGGAAGATGACTTGAGAAGCACAGTTGTTGTTTTTGTTGTTGTTGTTGTTATTGTTGTTGTTGTTCATCCTTGGTTCTTAAAGAGGACCAATGACATCAGGAGGGGGATGTCTTGACTTGCAAATGAATTGGATTTAATAAGGCAGGGCTGTACAAGGTCATAAAACTCACTCTCCCCTAGAGTCATCGGAGTCCAGTGGTAAGACATAGGTCAGGATGACTTGGAATGGAAGGAGAGACTAGAGGATGGGGTGCCAAATACAAAGGTATTTTTGATGCTGAAAGTAAGAGAAATGTGAAGCTAGAGCTATACCAGTGAGAATGGAGAGGAGAGAGCAGGGAACTTGGAGAACAGGGTCCTGTATGTTCTGTCTCTGTAACTTCCTTCTCATCCTTCTCGTTCTCATTTCCGAGTACCAGTGGTTTAGTTCACATCCTTGTCACCACCCTCTTGGGACATGATAAAGCTTCCTGATTAGTCTCCCTGTTTCCAGTCTCTTTTCCTCTCCAATCCTCCTTTAATTTCATTGTCAAGAAAACATTTCTTTTTTATTAATTTCTTTATTTTTAGCTTTCAACATTCACTTCCACAAGATTTTGAGTTCCAAATTTTCTCCCCATTTCATCCCTCCCCCCACCCCAAGATGGCATGCATTCTGAATACCCCTTCCCCTAGTCTGCTTTCCCTGCTATCTCTCCCCCTCTTCCCCTTCTACTTTCCCATAGGGCAGGATAGATTTCTGTACTCCATTTCCTGTATTTCTTATTTCTCAGTTGCATGTGAATACAATTTTTATAACATTTGTTTTTAAAATTTGAATTCCAAATTTTCTCCCTTCCTCTCTCCCCACCCACCCTCATTGAGCAAGCAAGCAACTCGATACAGGTTATACATGTGTAGTCATGCAAAACTCTTCCATAGTAGTCATGTAGTGAACCACTAAGTATATTTCCCTTTATTCTATCCCACCCATCATTTATTCTATTCTCTCTTTTGACCCTCTTCCTCCTTAGAAGTGCTTGCTTCTTATTACCCTCTCCCCCGATCTGTCCTCCCCTCTATCATCCCCTGCTCTCTTGTCCCCTTTGCCCCCTATTTTCCTGTAGAGTAAGATAGATTTTCATAACCAATTGAGTGTGTATGTTCTTCCCTCCTTAAGCCAAATCCTATGAGAATAAGATTTACTCATTCCCTCTCACCTTCCTCCACTTCCTCTCCACTGTAAAAGCCTTTTCTTGTCTGTTTTATGTGAGATAATTTACCCCATACTTCTCCCTTTCTCCTTCTCCTCATATAATCCTCTCACCCATTAATTTTATTCTCCAGATATCACCCCTTCATCTTCAACTCACCCTTTGCCCTCTATCTATCTATCTATCTATCTATCTATCTATCTGTCTGTCTGTCTGTCTGTCTGTCTGTCTGTCTGTCTGTCTATCTATCTATCTATCTATCTATATATGTATATATTTTCATACATATAATTTTCCTCTCTAACTTCTTTAATACTGACAAAGGACTCATGAGTTACAAATATTATCTGTCCATGTAGGAATGTAAACAGTTCAACCTTAATAAGTCTCTTATGATTTCTCTTTCCTGTTTGCCTCTTCATGTTTCACTTGAGTCTCATATTTGAAAGTCAAATTTTCTATTCAGCTCTGATCCTTTCATTAAGAATGCTCAGAAATGCTCTGTTTCACTGAATGTCCATTTTTTTCCGCTGAAGGATTATACTCGGTTTTGCTGGGTAGGTGATTCTTGGTTGTAATCCTATCTCCTTTGCCCTCTGGAATATTATATTCCAAACCTTCTGGTCCCTTAATGTAGAAGCTGCTAAATCTTGTGTTATCCTGATTGTGTTTCCACAATACTTGAATTGTTTCTTTCTGGGTGCTTGCAATATTTTCTCCTTGACCTGGGAACTCTGGAATTTGGCTACAATATTCCTAGGAGTTTTCCTTTGGGGATCTCTTTCAGGAGGTGATTGGTGGATTCTTTCAATTTTTATTTTGCCTTCTGGTTCTAAAATATCAGGGCAGTTTTCCTTGATAATTTCTTCCAAGATGACATCTAGGCTCTTCTTTTGATCATGGCTTTCAGATAGTCCAATAATTTTTAAATTCTCTCTCCTGGATCTATTTTCCAGGTCAGTTGTTTTTCCAATGAGATATTTCACATTGTTTTCTATTTTTCATTCTTTTGGATTTGTTTTACAGTGTCTTGATTTCTCATAAAGTCACTAGCTTTCAATTGCTCCATTCTAATTTTTAAGGAAGTATTTTCTTCAGTAAGCTTTTGGACTTCCTTTTCCATTTGGCCAATTTTGCTTTTAAGGCATTCTTCTCCTCATTGGCTTTTTGGACTTCTTTTGCCATCTGGGTTAGGCTATTTTTTTTAAGGTGTTATTTTATTCAATTTTTTTGGGTGTCCTTTAGCAAGCTGTTGACTTGTTTTTTATGATTTTCTTGCATCACTCTCAGTTTTTCTTCTACTTCTCTTACTTGCTTCTCAAAATTCTTTTTGAGCTCTTCCGTGGCCTGAGACCAATTCATATTTTTCTTGGAGGCTTTGGATGTAGGAGCTTTGGCTTCATTGTCTTTTTCTGGTTGTTTGTTTGGATCTTCTTTGTCACCAAAGTAAGATAATATAGTCTGACTCTTTTTGTGCTGCTTGCTCATGATCCAGGCCAATTACTTGAGTTATAAACTCTTTGTTAAGGTAGGGATCTGCTTCCAGTGTGGAGAATGTAATGTCCCAAGCTTCAGGGGTTTTGTGCATCTGTTTTCAGAGATATTTCTAGGGACCTGTAAATTTTCAGCTCTTCCAAGGTGCTATGATCAAGGGCTAGGTGTTTACTCTTTTTCTGGCCTCTCCTCTTATCTATGAGTGACCACAAGCACTCTTTTCTGTCTTGGAACTGTGAGGAGGATTTCTCCTCCACCACCACTGCAAATTCCACCATGATGGCTTTCCTTTTTGCCCCAGGACCACCACCCAGAACTGTGACCCAAATCCAATCACAGGCAAAGCAAGAGAATTCTGCCTCAGCACCAGCAAAGAGATCCCTGCAATACCCCCATGATTAGCCACTGGATTCCCCTTCAGTCTGTGGGCCAGAATCCCCTGGAAGCAGCCACTGCTCCAGTGACATGCTTGGGGACTGGGGCTGGGGCTGCTCTTCTCTCTTTGTCACCACAGTCATAGACTTTTTGCACTGATCTTCTAAGTTGTCTTTGGCATTCATGGGTTGAGAAGTCAGGAAACTGCCACAGCAGTCCGTGATTCAGTCCTCTGAGGCCTGCTCCAGTTTGGCTGAGGCCTGGTTTACCTGTATCCCCATGCTGAACTGTATTCCTCTCCCTTCCCAGCCCCATCCAGTTTATCTTGGGCTAGAAACTTGTTTCACTCTGTCTTTTTGTGGCTTCTGCTGCTTTAGAATTTGTTTAGAGTCATTTTTTACAGGTATTTGGAGGGGTTTGGGGGAGAACTCAAAGAAGTCACTGCTTTTGCTCTGCCATCTTGGCTCCACCCCCCCCCCCAAGAAAACATTTCTAAGATCTCTTCTGGTCTGACCTGATTATGTCACTCAACCTCTAAAACCATCAGTGTCTCCCTATTTCCATGTGTGTGTGTGTGTGTGTGTGTGTGTGTGTGTGTGCATGTGCTTCAGGGTATAACTACCATTCCTTACCTTCAAAACTCTTTGTGGCTACCTACAGTCAACAGAATAAAATATCAAGCCCTTAGCTTAATATTTAAGAGATGCCACAATTGTCTTCAACTTACTTTTTTGAGCTAACTTCACATTACTCCCATGCACAGAATTTATGTACCAGGCAGTCTAGACTTCTAGCTGATTTCTAAGTTTGACATCCTATTTCTTGATTTCTACAGTCCCTCCCCCATACCTGGAATGAACTTCATCTTAATTTCTGCCTCACAGATTCCCTATTGTATTTTAGGATTCATCTCAGGTTCCACTTCTTCAAATCCTTCCCTGATATCCCTACCCCTAAAATGTTAGTGTTATGTCTGTGTATTCCTGAAACACTTTGCTACTAACCTTGAATCACATTAATTTGTGTACAAGGCATAAAGCCCAGTGGAGAGGAATCTTCTTGAGGCCATAGACTGTGATTTTGTTTCTTTCAGTGCCATGCAAGAATGTGATTGCCCCGGGGGCAATATTTTCAATGTGTAAATTGATAATGATGGCCCATTTTTATTCATTCTTTTTCTGATAATGTGATGTTCTTATTAGATTTTTATAATATTTATCATTTTAAATTCTACTTTATCAGAACTAATTCCTATTACTCTTGCTTTTTTTGAAGTTGCAAATGTATGATAAATTATAGTACCATGTCCTAACTTTATTGTTTATTTATCATTTTTTTAAGTTAAATGTTTTCTCAAAGTAACATATTGGTTAGGTTTTGCCCTTGATTTATGCCATAACTTTTTCTTTAATAGAAGAATTCAGACCATTCACATTTATTATAAAGGGCAATACACAATTTAAATTTTAATATTTTCTTATTATTATTAATATTGTCTGGATTGAGTGAACTCTGCTTTAGCATTCCGTATCTATTTAAACTATTAAACCTACTTAATGAAAGAAAAGAAAGGTACTTCTTTTTAAAACTGAATTGCCAAAATTACTAGCTGTCTACAGAAGGGTAATTCATTGTTAATATGCAAACATAAAATTGATTTGCTAAGGAGAACCAGTTTGGACCTGGTTAACAGTAAAGCAGGGTTAGTGGCACTGTCAATGATGTTGGTGATGATAACGACAATGACAAAATGACATCTCCACAACCAAGTCTTTCCTCATGTTTTAGATCACTGGATGAGGCTCATCCTACACAGATAAGGTGTTAGGATACAAATTTACCTGAGCAGAAAGAGCAAAGCACTGGAATACAAATCATCCCTTATTTGCATCTTAGCAAATGTTCTTTCCACCTTTTCCAGGTCACCATGTAAAAGGAAATACAAATTCCAAAGACAGGTAGTGCTAGGGTTGAACAGAATTGAACAGGTTTTTACAGGGTTGTTGGGAAGGAACTTGTATAATTCTAACGATGATCCCCAAACAGGCTGGGCATTTCTTGGTCCAAGATAGAAACCACCATAAAGAGACAATGAAAAGTTATTTCAATTTTAGTTTCACAGACAGATGCATGGATAGATAGATAGATAGATAGACAGACAGACAGACAGACAGACAGATAGATTGATAGATAAAGAGATAGACAGATGTTCTTCGCCAACATGGTAAATGTCATTGAGAAAATTTGTTGGTTTTGATAGCTGGTGAGTTCCTATTGGGGCTTCTAGGGAATGGCTTCTTGGCAGTGGTGAACTTCATTGACTTGGTGAAGAATAAGAAACTGTCAACAGGAGATCTCATCCTGGTCAGCTTGGCCATCTCCAGAATATTTCTGTTGTGCCTAACAACAAAGATGTTCTCTCAACATTTATCATTTTCACCTGTCACAGAGACAGGTAAACTGAACACAGTTGATGTCTTCTGGATATTGGCCCACTTCTCAAATGTTTGGTTTGCTTTTTGCCTCAGCATCTTCTACTTCCTCAAGATTGCCAGCTTCTCCCACTCCATCTTTCTCTGGCTGAAATGGAGAATCAACAGGGTGGTCTTTGTTTTACAAGGGGGGCATGTACTCATCACCTTGCCTACTTTATATCTATTGTTGCAGAAATTTAATGATCTCTATAAGAATCAGATAATTGTTGGAATCAAGAGAAATGTATCCCAGGATGCCTCAGAGATTAAAAGTTTATCATTTCTCTTCACAATTTCCTTTAATCTGGTGAGTCTTTTGCCTTTTACTCTGTGTCTGGTCTCCTTCTCCCTCCTCATTATATCCCTTTGGAGACACACTCGGCAAATGCAACTCAATGCCACAGGATCTAGAGACCCCAGCATGGAAGCCCATATTCAAGCCATGAAAACCATGTCTTCCTTCCTTATCCTTTTTTTCCTGTGTGTCTAGGCACCTTCACTAGCCAATTAAGCATTTCAATGCCAGAAAAAAATGTGCCTTTACTCCTCAGTGTCATTATGTCATGTCTACATCCCTCAGGTCACTCATTGATTGTGATTCTGACAAGCAGCAAGCTAAGACAAGCCATCCTGAGAATGTTCAGGCAGGTGAAGAGATACTTGAGAGGAAGGTAATGAAATGCATTCTTGGTCCTGTAGAGGTTCTTCAGTGTGATCTTATATTTCCTCAGGAAGAAAGAAGTCAGCATAGAGTTTTTCAAAGACATACTCCAGGATTACTGTCTGATTAGACTTGTAAAACCACTGAATGCACGGCTTCAATTAATAAATTGGTGAATTTGAAATGACATCACGGTCCTGCTCTGGTTTTCAAACGTTGTAGCATTTTATACCACCTTCATCCTGGGGACCTTCTCTCATCTTGTAATGCAGCTAACACCCTGTACTTATTGGACTCTTGTATCTTTGACATGTGTCAACATCAAAAACTCAGTGATAAAATACTGGTCCTGAGCTACACTGGTTACCAGCCAGAAATTCAAGATGAAAACTTTCACAGGAGCACCCACATATTGGGATCCATTGCTGGTTTGATTTTTCAAACTTATGATCTTTTGATCTAGCAATGCTTAACAAAATAGTCTTTTGGATGCACCTCTAAATGTGTTGTGGGGAAGGGAAAAGACCTAGAATAAAGCTGAAAGAGGATTGATAAGTCAGGGAAATTCTGCCCTTAGCAAATACCAGACTAGCTTTACCTTTTCAGCTTGGCTTTTGTAAACCATACTTTGTTGCTTGTGATTTCACCCAAATAAACTCAAGTTAATTGACATGCTAATTGAGTCAATTCTTACTAGATTCAAACTGAGTAGGGAAAATGTGTTGGGACCCTGGGGTCACCTGAGCAACAAGAAGATGGACTAGACATTTTCTCTGATCCTCATGACCTCCCACAGTTTTCCAAAACAGTATCTATATACAAAAGACAAAAAACAACTTAATCAATCTCCATGGATTAGAACATGCAGAATCCAAAGAATGTTCAAAATGAAAAAAAAATGAAAATCCAGGAATTGATGTTCACTGACTCTGAGCACACTCAGTGCCCCTGCCCCACCTCCCTTGCTACCAGCCCAAAGCTTCATTAGCAGACCTAAGGACACAACACAGGTTTAAACCAAAACCGCACCTCTCTGTTTCTAGTGTCAAGTGGAACCTTGTTCAAGGCTACAGAAGTTTTCATGGACCTCAAGAGTTAGATTGAGCATAGCCCTTCAGAAGCAAAAGCCTTCTTGGGAAACCCTGGATGCATTAGAGCTGAATATCTCTGAACTGCCAACACCAGGGAAAAAAGGATCTGAACTGCAGGTCCCAGGTTAGAGAACTAAAGAAGAGGAAGTATAGCAGATCATTAGGACAGAACACTGTGCATGTTAGGGGTCATTTGTGGAACTCCACCAAGCCTGAGGCAAAGAGCCCAGCATCCAAGTGGGGCCAGTTCTGCCCCAAAGCTCATTTGGGGCAGAGACCTAGGATGAGCCCAGTGTGGGAGGAGGCTGAGGTACTTTGAGATTCCCCAAAGAAATAAGAATCGGGAGGGAGTCAAGAACTGAGTGATAAGGAAAACAAAGAAGTCAGACAGATTGAAAGCACCAAAGATTTCAGGGAGAAGAAAATTCAAAGACCTTGAAAATAAACACATAAATCAACAGGAAAAATATTAGCAAGAAGAGGAAATGTTGTTTCCCTATATAGTAAACAAGTTCATATATTTATGAGTAAATACTGCAAAATAAAGCAAAATAATATAACATTTGATGAGAGAGAGAACTCAAGTATTCCTGAGATAAATGATAAAAGATGAAATAAAAGATAAATGAGAATTATGAGGACAGAATGTATGTCCTCCATTGCAAAAAATGATAAGCAATACAGAAAAACTTGCATCTGCAATGGCAAGCATGAAAAGAAATAAAAGAGGGAAGAATAGATTGAGAATGGAAATACACAGGAGCAAAGGATAACTTAGAAAATTAGAAGAAAAAGCATTAAAATAAAATATGATTGTGCGAGCAAAACATATTGAACTCAAACAGGTTGCATAGAGGCAATCTAAGAATCACAGATACCTGACAGAAGAACCTGACAGCACAAAAAACTTTTACACAATAAAGAAGGAATAATAGAAATTAACTGCTAAGAACTTCAAAACATAGAAAATGAAATTCCAGTTGAAAGAATTCACAGATTTTCTCCAGAACAAATCCTAATGCTGCAAACTCCAAGAGTCATGGAGGTTAAGTTTAACAATTCAATTGAGAAAGAAGCTCTGTAAGCCATCAGCAGAAAGACCTTCATATATGAAGGAAAAGCCGTTCAAATAACAGAAAAACTATTCTATAGTCACTAGAAAAAGGAGGAGGGAGTGGAACAATGTGTTCCAAAGGTGAGTGGAGCTCAGGATGTAGCCCAGGCTGAACTAGCCTGCAAATCTGAGCTAAATCTTCTGGACAAAAATGGGTGTTCAAGATCAAAGAAATGGTTAAAAGATTTTTGGAAAGAAACTAGAACTAAAGAAGTTATTAGTCTCTTGAGTGCCCCAAACAACAGAAATGCAGGAGGAACGGATAAATGCAGACAGCAATAGCAACAGAGTGACTACAAAGAGATGAGTGAGAGATTTCTTTCTAAATGTCCATAAGGACATAGAGGTGAAGGCAGAAGTCTTGTAGAGATAACAATGAGGAAAATGACAGGTGGCATTATGGTCAGAACCTGGAGTGGAAACATGCTGCCTACAGGTGAAGGCTTCTTCTGTGGGACTACATTACAACATGAGAAAGTACATGAAGTAAGGGGATAGAATCATGTGCTGGGGTCAAATCAAGGGCTGGCAGTGAAGGAAAGGTGACATCTGTGTTCTCAGAAAGAGAAAAGCCTACAGGGTAATGGTGGGGAAGAGGAGGATGATGGAAAGATTGAAAATTGGAGAGGGGGAGACCTTACTTTGGAGATGAGAGGGAATTCCACTGATGAATGACTGTATGGGTAAAGGGAGATGAGGACCTTGCACTGGATGAGACCAAGGCGTTTTGGCACTCGAAAAGTCTACTTCTCCTGGGAAGTGGGGAATTAGAATCCCTGGGGGCAACTGGGAACTGGAGGAGTCAGAGAACATGGACATATGGAGATTTCCAGGCAAATGTAGAAAAAAAGTCAACAAGAAAGCGTGTAAATCAGTAGTGGGCTGCATAATCAGAGACGTGGTGGAGGAATGATCCTACCATAGGGCAGTGTCTTCTCTGCAACCTGCAATAATTGGCATTGTTCTGGAAATGAGGCACAATGGAAAAGGGGAATCCATTGCAAATCCCAATAAAGTAGTAGAAGAAAGCACCTAGAGGAGAGGTCCTAGAATGAATACCTTGGAAGCTTTAATTGCATGAAGAATGCAGAGAAAAGAGAGAGCCCAGAAAATTATGGGGGTCATGAATCAGAGACTGAAGGTCTTTAGTAAACAGAAAGAGAAGATGGATAGTGAAGACAGTGATAGTAATACTTTTTGAAAGGGGCAAAAAGTATGAAATTTAAAAACTAAGAAACAAGACTAGCTGAAAAGGAGAAGAGGAAGAGGGAAAATCGAATGAGAAGGAAGGATTGTGGGTGAGGGGAAAAGAGACAGTGGGAACCAGGGCCACCTCTCAAATAACATTAAAGGGACTCAAGGATCCTAATACTTTGTCTGCAGCAGAAGGAACTTGATACTGAAAAGTTTCTGCTCAGATAACATTAATGCATCTAGAACAATGTGGAAAGTGGTCAAATGGGGGGAAAAACTTTGTACAAAATTTTCCTGATAAGAATTTGGCATCAAAAGATATAAACAACATATAAATATGTCTTGTAGCTGTTCTCCAATACACAACTGGTCAAAGGATATAGGTAACAATTTTCAAAAGAACTGGAAAGTATTCACAACCACATGAAAAATGCTCCAAATCACTAATGGTAAGAGAAATGCAAATCCAAACAAATTCTGAAATATGCTCAAGTTGCAGGTCATAGTTAATATTCACTTGTTCATCTCTCTCTCTCTCTCTCATTCTGTGTGTATGTGTGTGTGTGTGTGTTTGTGTGTGTGTGGGTGTGTGTGTGTGTGTGTGGGTGTGTGTGTGCATGCACAAGCATGTGGGTTTCTCATATCAGAGTGTTTTGCATCAATGATATGGGTCACCATTCTATTCCCCCTTAAGTATTCTATACTCACATGTCATCATTCCATCATCCAATCTTTCCACCTATTTATATTTCAGAAAGCAATTCTCACATTCCATGGCCATTTTCATCTGAAGGAAAGTCTGTACAGCTCAATCCAAGTCATGGCAAGTCTTAAAGGTCACACTTAAGGATATGAACTTTATTTGGTTGGCAGTGAAGAAAGCATTTGAGCCTAGGAGTGATGTGAAGAGCGGATGTAGAAAATGACTTCAGCAATTTAGATGCCAGGATGGGTTATACAAAGATAAAACTCAAGGGAGGGACCCAGATAAAGAGTAAATGTAACATAAAAAATAATCAGTATGAACAATTTTTCTAGAATTGTACAGTAGGAAGGGAATTAAGCATTGAGAAGCAGAAAAATTTGCAGAAGAATTCCCTCTTCCCTCCTTTCTACTTCCACATCTCTCTCATCTTTTCCTTCTTTCCATTCTTAGCACCAACAAAAACACATGCCAGCTTCATGGGGAAAAATCAAGGAATCATTTTGGGAAGGGGGAAGAGAAGAACTCCAGGTCCTGCCACAGCTTCAGTCTTGACCCAGGCCTCTATCTTCTCCCCCTCTCCTTGGTTTGCGAAAGATTGGGACTTTTTTCATCAGTGGCCTAACAATGACTCGAGAATAGCAGTAACCAGAGACAGTGTTTGCATTGGGAGCCAAGGACAAATTAAGCAGACTGAGGAAAGGCAATTTCAAGACTTTACAGGAACACTAGCCCAAAGACTACTCTTTGGGGACTGAACATTATTGTGTTTTGGATTAATGTTTTTAGGCTCCTTCTTTGCCACTATCATTGTTTAATGGATTTTCTCATTTCCATGTGGTTTTATAACTTGTACTAATGTTATTGTTGTTTGTTTCTAAGTCTTATGGTTTTCAAATTTATATATATATATATATATTTGACTACCTTTTGAATTATATATAATTACTACCTTTTGAAATCTAGGCAAGATTTCTCTATGACCTAGTATGTAACCAAATTTTTTTTGGTGAATGTTCCAAATATATGTGAAAAGATCTTGTATTCCTTCTTTCTGACATTTAATTTGTCCCAGGTATTGATGATATATGAGACAATGGACTGAAGACTAAAAAGGACCTTAGTGGTAGATCATCTAGTCCAACCTCATCATTTTACAAATGGGAAAATGGAATATGAGGGAGTTGAAATGACTTTACCAAATTTTCACAGATTGTGAACATCAAATCCAGGTCACATCATTCCAAATTCAGCACTTTTTTTCACTATATAATTCTACTTCTCAATTATTAAGTAAGTTCATATCTTATTTATTATTAATTTTTATATTTGACTTGTCATATTCTGATAATAAAATGTTAAAGTGTTCTGCCATTATATTGTCAGTTTCTTCTTACACTTTATTTAATGTTTCTTTAATGAATTCAAATGTCTCATGGTGGAGTGCTTATAAATTCAAAATTGTTATAATTTGTTACTCAGTTTTCTTTTCACTGTTGTGTAATGTCATCACTCATTTCTTGAATATTTTGTGGTTTGAATTACACTTTCATAATACCATTATTGCCTCTCCTTACTTTTGAGCTGGTAAGCTACGTTGTTTATTTTATATTAACCTCTTCAACTTAGACATATTTTTGGCATTAAATGTGTTCACTTTGATCAACATATTGAGTTTTTTTCTTAATTCATTCTAAAACTTTTTGAGCATTCAGGATATTCACATTTCTTGTTATATGTAATTAACCTGTTTTCTGGTATTTTCTTCTCATCTTTCTTTCTGCAACCAGGAAAGAATGATCTCTAAAATTTTTAAATCCATTTTAATTATTAAAGTAAATTAATGAAACAAGTTATATTTTCCTTCTTTAATGTTTTCATCCCTATCTTTCCCTGAGGTTTAATCCTCATTTTACTGTAAATAGGAATTATGCCCATGGGATGACTAGCACTTATTCCTTCTTCCCTATCCTTTTATTTTGCTATTATTTTTAATGTATTTTAAGTACTTTTCAATAAGCATGAACCTTCTAAAATTCCTTTCTCTTTTGTATTAATCTAACTAAAACTCTGATTTATTTATATTACAGTGATAAAAGAGAATATGCTTTCTTTCATTTTTAAAATATAGAATCATGAGATCTTGGTCCAGGAACTAAAAAGCTTAGGAGCTCAAGTGGCTTTTTTCATCAGTGCTATTTACAGAATGTATAGAATTTGGTGGTGGTGGTTGTCTTCCTTCTCAAAAAGGCCCCAAATGATATCATGATGTTGGGATCAATGTGAAGTGTGTCCTGCTGTGGCTGACTTTGAGCTCAGAAGGCTCAACCACAGGTTGGGCATATATAATTCACATAAATACTTGGAATGGAAATGTCTATAAATTTGTGCATCTCACATTGTTTTTGAAGTGCTGCAATTCTGCTTTAATCACAGAACACAGTGCCTTCTTTGATGCAGGCACGCCATGCTGAATGGTCCTGTACCAATGTCTCACATGTCGTTCTTCAGAGAGACCTTGAGAATGTCCATGTAATGCTTTTTCTGACCTTTATATAAGCACTTGCCTTGTGTGAGTTCAACATGAAATAATTTTTTAGGCAAACATTTGCTTGGCATTTCAACAATATGACCAGTCCATTGGAGTTGAGCTCTCTGCAGTAGAGTTTGAATGCCTGCCAATTCAGCTCAAGAAAGGACCTCATTTTCTAGTACCATATCTTGCCAAATGATTTTCAGGATCTTCCTAAGACAATTCAAACAGAAGTGTTTCAATTTACTGGCATGGTGCCAGGAGACTGTCCAGGTTTCACAGGCATATAACCATGAGGTCAGCACAATGGCTCTGTACACATTCAGTTTGGTAGGTGACCTATTACCTCTTCTCTATCACACTTTCCTTTGGAGCCTCCCAAACACCGAGCTAATTCTGGCAATGGATGTATCTATGTCATCATCTCTGTGCATGTCCTTGGAAAGTATGCTGCCAAGGTAAGTGAACTTATCCACAACATTCAAAGTCTCTCCATTTGCTTGAACTGATGGTTCCCCATATGGATGATGCGGTAATGACTGGTGGAGAACCTCTGTTTTCTTGGTATTAATTGTCAGGGTCAAAATTAGCACAAGTGTCAGAGTATTGATCTATACTCTATTGCATTTCATTTTCAGAGGCTGCATTGAGTGTACTATTATCTGCAAACAGAAAGTCACCAACCAATGCTCTCTCCACTTTAGTCTTGTCTTGTAGCCTTTTCAAGATAAATAATTTACCATCAGTGCAGTAGCTGAACTTGATGCCATTTTCATCCTTGTTGAAGGTGTCTGACCACCTCACTGAAAATACCATGCTAAAAAACTTGTGAGCAAGCACACAACATTGTGCTGACCTCATTATTGTATGCCTGTGAAACTTGCCAGAAAATTGAAGCATTTCTATTTAAATTGTCTTAGAATGATTTTGAAAATCACCTGACAAGATAAGTTATGAGACAATGAAGTCCCTTCTTGAGGTGAATTACCAAGCATTCAAACCCAATTGTGGGTTCAGGAAGTAAAGAGCTGATAAAAGGGATGGTGACTAATAATATATTTATAACAAATCAGTTGGTTTTTAAGTAGGTGATAGATAACTTCTTCTAGTTGAATGTCTATCAGCATACACCTAGGTCAAAATCCCATTTCATACTCTTGATTCTGTGATACCTGGACATGCCATCTCACCTCTTTAAAACTGTTCTGTCATCTGTAATGAGGGGGGAAAGAGCCTTTGAATTCACACTTTCAAAGGTTACTGCAAAGAAAGTACTTGGGAAAACTTGAGACACTAGGTACATGTGGAATGTTATCATCTTTTCTCTGTAAGCTTATTGTGCACAGAACTCAACAAAAAGATGGTGGTTGACCAATAGTTGCTGCTTTCCAGCCTGATGCTAATGGTAGGTCTTTATAGTAGAATTGGCATGGTATGCTGCTTTGTCTCAGTTACCCTGAAAGCTAAAAGAAAAGTATTTCTTTTGAGTGTGAACTACCCAGTCGTCCATTATATTGGAATTTATTCATAAATCTCAAACCTAAAAGAGACTTAACAGAAATACCCATTATGAGTTTGATTTTATAAACAATTGGTGATAACATCCATATTCAGTGTGATGGGAAATGATGGAGATAAAGCATAATCTCTGCACTTATGGCAGGCTTTTCATACACAGAACACATGTTTGGATGAAAATTGGCTGAGATACAAAGAGGAAAATATTGAAAGATGACTTCTCCCTATTTGCATCTAACATAGGAATCTAATCCTTTCCATGTTCACCTCTCAAAAGGAAATAAAAATACCACAGAGAAAGAGTATGTCTTAGCTGGCCAAATTTAATTGAGCTGTTGGGAAGGTACAGAGTTTAACTTGACAAAGATATTCTAACAGAGGATTAGACATTTTCTTGCCTAAGAAACTTTATGAAAGACAGAGAAGAAAATTACTTCATCTCCAAATAGCAGAAGGACATATCATTTCATGCTCATTTTGCCTGGAAATTAATCCAATAGCAGTAGCATCAAAAGTATTATAAATATTGGTAATTTCTGAAGTGATCTCTTTCCAGCTGACAGGCTAAGTAGTGGGGAGAAAATCTTGATGGCTCTGGCAACTGCTGAGTTTCTATTGGGCATTCTGGTAAATGGATTCATAGTTCTGGTGAATGGCATTGACTGTGTCAAGAGCAAGAAACTTCCACCATGTGACCTCATTCTAGTCATCTTGGCCATCTCCATAATTGAACTATCATGTACAATAATATGGAATAGCTATTTAATTTTAATCTCTTTTGATGTACCCACCCGAGTAAGAGTAATTGATGTATTTGTGGTACTGACTCACAACTCAAATATTTGGTTTTCCACTATTCTCAGCATCTTCTACTTCCTGAAGATCATCAACTTCTCTAATCCCCTTTTCCTCTGGATGAAATGGAGAATTGACAGGATGCTCTTCATGCTTTTTTGGAGGCCCTTGATTATCTCTTTGTCTATTATCTTTCCAATGGTGGAGATAATTCATTATTATCATCGCAGCATCTTTAGTGGAGGAAAGAAGAGAAATGTGTCCCAGGAGGTCCAAGTGAGTAAAAGTAAGCTGCTTGTGCTCCATGTCTTCTTTGGCCTCCTGAGTATTGTTCCTTTTACTCTGTCTACAATCTTTTTCTCCCTACTCTTTGTCTCCTTGTGGAGGCATACTAGACAGATGCAACACAATGCCACAGGTTCCTAGCACAGAGGCCCATGTTCGAGCCATGAAAGCTGTGTCTTCCTTCCTCATCCTCATTTTATTGTACTATATGGGTTTCTTTGTCATCTTCTGGAACCATTCAGAGGCAAAGAGTAAGCTGGCTTCCAATTTGGGAACATCAATCATGTTGCTCTATCCCTTTGGTCACTCACTGATCCTGATTCTGTGGAATGGCAAGCTGAGGCAGGCCTCCCTGTGGGTGCGGCACCAAGCCCTGTTCTGCCTCAGAGGAAGAAAACCTTAACGTGAACAGCTTTGGAAAGTTGGTAACTTCTATTGAACAACAAGTTAATATGGAAGGTTTTCCTCACTTCTGTAGTTTTCCATTCAATGGAACATTACTTATTGCAGGAAATGTCTAATGTAAAGTTTATTCTGTGCCTATTGAAAAGCTCTGTGACTCTTTGGACAAAGTTTAAAATGCTTGTTGTTACATGATCACACTGGAGGACGTGGCATCATAGGAATAGAGTGATAAGATGGCAGAGGTCAATAACCCCAAACCCTCATTTTAGATGAGGACATTGAGGTCCTGAGAAGCCTCAATATTATAGATCTAAAGCTAGAAGGGACCTCTTTGCTTCATAGGATCATAGGATGAGAGTCATTAGGTACTTCAGATGATATGTAGTTCAATCTGTTCATTTTACAGATAAGGAAATTGAGGAATTACCGAGGTCACAGGATCAGAGATATGGAAGTGGACTGGATATCTACTCCCTATCTCTCATTTTACAGAAAAGAAATTGGAAGTCCAGAAAGGTTTGATGCCTTGTCCAGAGTCACATGCATAGTTAGTATATGACTATGGCCCTATGAGTCCAATTCTAGTGCACTTCATATTGCACCACACTGCCAACCCTTCTTGGTGCTCTCACTAGTTACTTCCATTTTATTCCTCAGATCAATCCTCTGTTCCCATACCCTTGGTGTCAGACATCTTTAGTAGTCCACTTGACTGCCCCTCTGATTCAAAAGCAAACTTTTCCAAACTAGTGTTTTTGGAGTTAGCTGAGGGTTTTGGACAAGTTATTTTGGTAAAAAAGAAAGCTCATGCCAATGCTGAGTGTCAACTCAGACAAACCCTGTTCCTTAATGGACACTTTTAGTCTGATTTGGGGAAGATCAAATGAAAATCAGTGTCCATGAGTGGGTGGTGGCAGAAAATATCACAAGTTGAAAGAGTTCTTGCTCTGAAGAAACTTACATTCTAGTAGGAAGAAGGCACACATGACAGTAATTATCATCTAACCAGAATGAGTCTTATATTCCTGTTGGAAAGATGGGAAACTCATCAGATGTAAAGGCTCTAGAAAATAATCTACAAGTGATAGGAGGTACAATGTTATTACTGGAAAAGCCTGTTCTCTGATTGTAATTTTCCAGGAGAGCAAGAAGATAAGGCATGTTCTTTTGTACAAGAAATGTCTATACATAGTCGTAAATGGAGCTTGAATCCTCCTAACTGCTCCTAACTGCCATCATCTCATCATATCAAGATGCCATTTTTCTGACTACAATTACTTTTTAAATAAGCAATTCCTCTTCACTTGGATTTCTTGATTGTTAAGAAAGGATTCTAAGCTAATGGAACATCTTAACAAGAATAGGGAATTGTTAACCTCAGTTTGCCTGACCTTGATGAGGTGACATTTGGAAGAGTATGTTCACATCTGGGCACTACCTTTGGAGAAGAATATCGATAAAGCAGAGGGTGGCCAAAGAAGGACCAAAATAATGAACCCTAAAATTCATGTCATCTGAAGACTGCTTAAAGGAAATGGTGTAGACACTTGGTCTGGAGAGTCAAAGACTGAGGATGGGACATAATAACTTTCCTCAAAAAATCAAAGACTGTCATGTGGAAGAAGGATTGGACTTGCTTAAATTTTCCCTAGAAAATAAAATCAGGAGTAATAGAAGTAGCAAAGAAACAAATTTAGTCTCAAAATAGCTAATTTTATTGCTTTTATTTCATCTACATCTCCTAAAATATTACTCTTTACCCTCTCTTCTTCTCAGAGAGCTATCTCTTCTAATAAAAGAATAAGAATAGGGTATTTTTTTATAAAAGCTAATATATAAGAAGAATCTTATACTACATGCTGTGTTTCAGACTTATAGTCCCCCCTATCTTCAAAGTGAAGAGGAACTGTCTTCTCTGGATCTAAGTTTGGTCACTAGAACTTTGTGGTATCCAATTTTAATAATTTTCCCCCATTTCTACTATTGCAGTTATTATGCATGTAATTTGCTTTATTCTATTTACTTCATATTGCATTGGTTCATATAAATCTACCCATGCTCCTCTGTATTCATTATACTCATCATTTCTTGTATTACATGAAAATTTCATTTTCTTTCATTACCACAATTTTTTAGCCACTTTGCAGTTGATGAACACTTATTTTGTTTCTATTTCTATGCTAATATAAAAATTGCTACTATAAACGTTTCAATCTATGAGACTTTTCTTTTTATCATTGACCTCTTTGGGATATATGCCTAGAAGTAGAAAAATGGATCAAAGGGTATGAGCAATTTAGTCACTTTCTGTAATTCCAAACTGGTTTCCAGAATTCTTAGATAAATTCACTCATAATTCCACCAACAATGAATATGTATGCCAGTCTTCCACATCTCTGATAACATGCACTATCACTACTACTGTCATATTTATAGATTTCTTGGACAAAGAGAAACTCTGGAGGTATTTTGATTTGCCTTTTATTTATTATTAATGATTTGTGGTATTCTTCATCATGATTTTCAATAGGGCAAAATTCTTTTGAGACATCGTTGTTTATATCCTCTGACTACTTATCTATTGGTTAATAGATTTTAGTTTTAGTAATATAATTAAGTTAAATGCTATATTATCTTGGATATCAGTCATTTATCTGAGATATTTGATATAAAGATTTTTTTACTCATCATTCATAATAGATAAGTAATCAAAGGATTAAAACAATCAGATCTCAAAAATTGAAAACAACACATAACTATAACAAAGAATACTCCAAATCTACAATAATAAGCCAAGTATAAATAAGAAGAACTCTGAAGTTTCATCCTATACCCTTCACACTGGCAAAGATGACAAAAGAAAAGAACAATCACCGTTGGAGGGCTTGTGGAAAGATAGGCACACTGGTGCATTGCTGGTGGAGCTGTGGATCAGTGCAAGTTTTTTGGAAAGCAATTTGGAATTTTGAAAATAAAGTGAATAAAATGTCTATAACCTTGACCTAGAGATTCCACTACTTGGCTTATATTTTTCTAAGAGGTCATTAAAAAGAAAAAAAGTCCTCATATCCACCAAAACACTTATAGTACCACCTTTTGTGGTAGTAAAGAATTGGAGACAAAGTAGATTCTCATTAACTGGAGAATGGTTAAACATGTTGTGGTACATGAATGGAACTTAAAATTATTGTTCTATAAGATGTAATGAATATAATGAATACAGAGAAACAGGGAAAGACTTTATTGATCTGATAAGAGTAAAATAAGCAGAGCCAAAAAAACTATCTATGCAATGACTTTGCTATTATTCAATTGTGTTTGACTCTTTGTGATGTCATGGACTTGTCTATCAACTTTTCCTGGAAAAAATACGGCAGTAGTTTGCCATTTCCTTGTCCACTGTGTCCCTATTTTATAGAAGAGGAACTGAGGCAAATAGCAGTTAAGTTAAGACCCTGGCTTGTCCAGGGTCACATAGTTAGTAAGTTCCTGAGTCTAGATTTGAGCTCTGATCTCCCTGACTTCAGGCCTGGTACTCTATACACTGTAGCACCTAGCTGTTCCAAACCACGATTACAACAATGTAAATGGAAAAAATAACCACAAAATAATCAAAAGTGAATGTTGCAAAATTATAAAGAAAAGCATGGTAAAAGAAGAAGACACCTCAACCCACTCCTTTGCACAGCTGGAAAGACCATGGTTTCGGCATATTGCCGATAATTTCAGAATTTTTTATGTAGTTTATTGAGTTTCCTGACTTTCCCCTTTTCTGTTTCATTATTTTTTTTAAATCACCCTTTGTTATTTTGGATTGCTCTCTAGGAGGGACAGGGAGATGGATACTTATGGGAATTTTTGTCATTAAAAATAATTAAATTTTAAAACATAAAGGACAATAAAGTTAATTTAAAATTGAGAGAGGGAGAGAGATAGAGAAGGTGGAAAGAAGGAAGAAAGGAAATAAAGAAAGAAGCAAGCAAAGAAGGAAAGAAATGAAAGAAGAAAAATGAAAGATAGGAAGGAAGGGAGAAAAGAAAAGAAGGAAGGAATGAAAGAAGAGAGAGAGGGAGGCTGGGAGATGGGAAGGAAAGAAAGAAGGAATGAAGGTTAAAAAGGAGAAAGAAAGGATAGGAGGGAGAGAGAAAGAGGGAGAGAGAGAGAGAGAGATCATCTACTATAATATACTGACTCTTTCTCTTCTGAATATGTGGTAATGAGCTAGCTGCTTCCATCTCTACATTACCATATAGCTCTAGTTAAGTGCAAAGTTCAGCCAAGTTTACAGGCTTTCTGCCTGTCTTTTATGGATTTACATGTTCCAACATTTCCAGGGCCTCCAATCCAACAAAGTTAGAGACCAGAGTCTCACAAGTCAAGACATTTGAACCAAGACATGCAAATAGTGGGCAGATGATGTTTCCATGGTCTACCTGTTCTCCTTCAAACTAATTTTTATTCATGAAGCACAGGCTGTAGCCACAATCTACCATGTGGAGAAGGAAGAAAATAACAAAATGTGGAAATGAAGTTTTAATTCCTTCATCATTGCTGCCTCAACACCAGTTTCTTCATGTTGATGCCTGTCATGGGAGGTGTGGAAGAGAAGGTGGCTAAGTGTCATAGTAGAGAGAGTGCTGGACTTTGAGTCAGGGTGTCCTGAGTTCAAATCCTGTTTCCATCTCTTATTAATCGTTTGACTACAGATCACTTACCTCTCTTAGCCTCAGTTCCCTCATCTGGGGAATGCTAATAATACCTATTTTATAAGATTTTGTTAAGATCTAATTAGATAACATATGTAAAGTGCTTCACAAACCATAGAACACTACATGAATGTTCAATATTATTATTAGTAATAATAATGAGGAAAGATGAAGGATCAAGGAAGAGGAGGAAATGATCTGTAGAGAGGTCAGATAAAACTGAGTGCCTGGCTCATAGTGGGAACTCAGAAAGGATCTGAATGCAATTGGGGGAGTGGCATTTGACCTATTT